TCACCTGGTCCAGCCCTAACTATATGCTTTAGCAAAAAGGAAAGTTTGAAGCCTAATCTTAAAAGTAGAGATAGTGTCTGTCTCCTGAATCCAAACTGGAAGCTGGTTCCACAGAAGAGGGGCCTGAAAACTGAAGGGAAGCCAAAACAGGAGAAATCTGCTCTCTCTTTCTAGTCCCTGTCAGTACATTTTGGATTAATTGAAGGCTTTTCTGGGAGTTTTTAGGACGTCCTGATAACAATGAATTACAGTAGTCCAGCCTGAAAATAATAAATGCATGAACTAGTTTTTCTGTGTAATATGTGCATTGAGGGACATATCCTGGTCAAAAATGACTCCAACTCACTTATGGACTCCTTAGAGATTTTCTCCATCCCTTTGATCTTTTCTTGATGAACACAGAGATCATGTGTGCTTAGTATTGGAAAGATTATTGGAGAACAAGTTTGTTAAAGTAGAGAAATGTGATTTTCATTGTTTCCTTTCTTTGTTACATAGTTGAAAAGGAGCAGCTCCCTTCCAACCAGACAAAGGTGCAAGCGGACAGAGATTGGCCAACTACTGAGACCCGCAAGCCCTGGCACTGATTCTGTGGTTTTGATAACTTTTACTGCCATGTCACCAGAGACTTTAGAGACTTTTATTGTGGCCTTTCACTATCTCAACAAGTGTTTCTCATCAACTCCTGTTCTCTCTCAACCAGATCTCTCCAAACATTTCATTGTGGAAGTGGACCAATCAGACTCTGATATGGAGGCAGTTCTGTTCACCAGTGAAGAGACAATGAGAAAAAAAGCACATGGGTGCATTTGACCTTCAATCTGTTGTGAAAAATGCGGTATGGACCCTTTGCTCTTGCTTTAGTGTGGATGTGAGAGGAGGCCAGCGGTTCTAGTGCCTGGACTGAGTTGTGCCTGTGGGGCATAGAGAGCTTCTGACGGGACACCCAGTCATCGTGTGGCACAACCACAAAAACCTTGCACAAGCCTCACACACAGTACGCCACACCCCCTAACCATCATGACCCACGGTCATTCCTCGATTCCTGTGGGCCTCTGACCTGCACTCTTCCCCGGTTGCCCAACAATATATACAGCAACCTCGCATGTGCTGACATGCTCGCACCATCAATCAGAAGACCTGGCATATGTGTGCCATCCAGCTCACATGCTTACCAATCGTCTCTAACACATCTACATGAGAGCTTCTGACGGGACACCCAGTCATCGTGTGGCACAACCACAAAAACCTTGCACACCTTCAAGCTGCAATGAGACTCAATGTCTGGCAAGCCAGATGGTCCCTGTTTTTTCTCATTTCAATTTCACCATCACTTACAGACCCGGTTCTCAGAATATCAAGCCAGACGCACTGAACCGCCAAAACTCCATCACTGAGCAACGTCCAAGACCACCATCCTGTCCCCTGTTCTTTGCTCTCCAACCTGGGAGATGTAGTCAGCCGTCCATGAAGCTCTACAGGCTGAACCTGACCCAGGAACTGGAACCCCTGGCCTCCTCCCATGTTCAAACTAGAGAAAGAGAAAATTAAATCCACTGGGGCCAGACCCCAAAATTTACGTTATCCATGAGCCAATCACACAATCTTGTTTCTGTGATGGTGGTTTTGGTGGAAATCCCTGTCTGAGGATGTCTGTGAATATGTTTCTATAGTTTTCTTCTTCAGTCACCTTAGAGAGTGATATTATACCCCTTATGTCAAACAGAGTGATTTGTGGCCCCAATAAAGTTTTGTGGCCCTAGGAAGTAATAAAGTAATAAAGTTATAAAAATATGATATTCATCAAAAATATGCTAGTTCATTGCTTTTTTTTCCCCTAAAAAATAACTAATTGGTTATTTAGAAAGTTTCTTATACATCAAATAGCATTCTTTTATTTTTAAGCCATTAAAAAAGTTTTTACATTTTATGCTCAAAAAACGCCATCTGGTGGTGGGTCAGTGTCTCCGGACCGTGCTGTGTTTCTCAGGCATTGAAATGCAGTTTAAATGCTTTTCCTCCATGAATTAAAAAAGCTTGTGTTCTGTCCTCACTACGTGTTGTCCGCGTGGACGTAGATGCAGCTATACAGACAGCTAAACACTCTAAATCAAAATCCAAGGAACAGGCCGATGTGTTGAGTTGGATGATGTAATAAGGAAAAAGTTTGAAACTGTTGACAAAACCAGAAACAAACGAATAAAAATGTTGCATCAATATAAAATATAACAAACACACCAGTAAGTCTCATATTCAAAAATATGAGCACAATATTTATCTGCTTAGTGAGTGCCCGAATAAAACATCAAAAGAAATCACGCTCATGATCAAAATGTTAAAGAAACCACATGGCATATGAGCTATCTTAACCTTACTAGCTTAGGTTATACATGCATTCAAATTAAATTCTAACAAACGATATCACTCCTTCACAACAAATAATAATGCACACAAGTCGTCTCAGTGATAACAAACAATATTACTCACAGATGATGCCGTTTATCAACTTGTGAAGGCGTCGATGGCAACAGATTAACAGAGTAGGAACTGCCTCTGGCTGGATCAGTAAGAAATACACAGAAACAACCACTAGGGGGCAAACTGCAGAACAGAAAATACCTAATGCCAGCATAGCTTGAGTTTAAAATATTCATGTCCATGTCTATTATTTATTTTGTTATCCAGTAAAACCCTTTAAAATTTAAAAAAAAAAAAAAAAGATTTGCACTTTGGGGCAAATTTTCTTGTGTGATTAAATTCAGTTAATCAAGATGAATTAATTACTGAGACTCTAATTAATTAGATTTTTTTTTCGATTGAGTCCCACCCCTAGTAATTATACTTAAAGTGTTTTGTGTAATATTGTCAGGGCTGAAGGAGAACCCAAATGCTGGACTTTTAGAATGGAGAAGTGTGTTTATTTACACAAAAAACAGTGCCAACAGTCCACGGTGTGTGCTTTCCCAATTCCCCGTGTCGTGGTTCCTCTCCGTGATGCGCGCCTGTGTTCAACTGTGTGCTGCTCCCTCCACATGTCTCGTAATCACCCTGGAAACGAGAGATGCCACAATGAGTACTGTCCCATACACTGGCCGACTAAACACGTTAACCATTCCAACGAGAGAGTATCGAAACCACGAGCTCCACACCAACTGTATTTCTAGTTTAACGATCCTGTGCCCACTGCTGCTCCACTGCCCTCTTAAGTAGAGCCCCTGGATTAGGCAGATCAGCAACAGGTGAGTTATTATCACAGGTGTGGCTGGCTCCAAGGCAGGGACTCTCCAGACCTGGTGGGGGCAGCAAAACTGACACAACAACACACAGGGAAACGAGAAACGAGGAGCAGATCACACCACAACCATAAATGATTAAGGAGGA